GCAAATAGAATGCAGAAGATCATCAAGAAGATCATACACCCTGATCAAGTGGGATTCATCCCAGGGATGCAGGATGGTTCAACATATGCAAATCAATCAGTGTAATACACTATATCAATAGAGCCAAGGACAAAAACCATATGATTATCTCCATAGATGCAGAGAAATGGACCACAACAGAGAGAAAAGAATGAAGTAGCCTGGAAACTCACCTTGGTTCCCAGGGAAGGGAAACTCTCTCTGCTTCACATACACAACTAAGCCCCCAGGGTCAGAAGCTCCAGAGAGAAACAAGTGACTAGGCCAGCAGTCCTACTCCCAAGAAAAGCCCACAGCTATTGTAAACTGCAAAAGCAGCATGGGGTTTTATTCTGAAAGTGATTTGTTTGCCATGGCAGGCTAGAATTGGAGAAGAAATGCAGTGAAGCACCTGTCACATAGCCAGAGAATGTTGAATCAGGTGCCATTTTGGGAAGGGGTTCATTATTTAAGAATGATCCATAGAATACTATAATTACAAAACAATTTCACTTCAGGATTCCCAGTGTTACCCTCCAACAGTGATTGGGTGAGAGATAGCCATGGACATAATCACAGAGAGAGTGCAAGGTGGACATAGAAACCCTGAGAAGTTTTAAGCTCAGGCCTGGAAAGACATAGGGCCCTGCCCTCCATGGTGAAAAGTCAGGCACAAGTTTGGCTTTCAGAGGCGGCTGGGTCTGAAAGTGCTGGCATTAAGTAGAGATCTGCTTGAACCCTCACCCTGCTACCTACATTCAGCAGAGATTAGTGGTATGATTGCTTTCCCCCTCTACCAAAGTGAGCAAGGACATGTCTTGGCTTGATGGTTGCTACAGCCTGGGGTGAATGGACAGAAGGGCTTCTGGTACAGGGAGGCACCTCACAAACCCACAAGCTGTAAGGCTACTGCTATAGTGGCATAGTTGTTGCTATTAATAATAGGTTTTCTATGTATGCCAATATCTGGATTGCCTTTGTGTCATGAACAATAATGTAGTCCATTCCTGGACAATTGGTTGCTGGGAAAATTACCTGCAAACTCCCCTCCAAAATTAACAGAGGTTGTTGGATGTTGGGACAGAGGCAAAGGCTTACAGTTAGCCATGTTCAGAGTGCATCACAGAAAAGTAGAAACTAACTAGATTGTCAAACTAGCATCAAAGTCTTCCCAGTATAGTCAACCCACAAACTTCAGCACAGACAGACAGACAGACAGACAGACACACACACACACACACACACACACACACACACACACACACGGAAACATGACATGAAAAGGCAACATAATGAATGCCTCCAAAAATCCCTGGCTCCCCAGAAATTGATCTTTGGTGCATGGAGGTGAAAAAATCACAAGCCACACACCTGAATTATTTAAAATGATAAAAGAGGAGAGGGCTGGGGATTTAGTTCAGTGGTT